TGGGGGATCGGGGGGCAGGGGTCTCTGTGGGGTTTAACACCCCCTCTCCCGGCAGGGGGCGCACTGTGGGGGATCGGGGGGCAGGGGTCTCTGTGGGGTTTAACACCCCCTTTCCCGGCAGGGGGCGCACTGTGGGGGATCGGGGGGCAGGGGTCTCTGTGGGGTTTAACCCCCCCTTTCCCGGCAGGGGGCGCACTGTGAGAAGTGCCGGCCGCTCTTTGTGGGCTCGGCGCTGAACGGGGGGACCTGCCGGCCCTGCCGCACCTTCTGCCGCGGGAACAGCGACGTCTGCATCTCCCGCGAGGAGCTGGGGGCCGCCCGGCGAGACCCCGCCCGCTTCCCGCTGGAGCCTGCCTTGGTGAGCCGGGCCCCTGGGGGGTGTCTCCCCGTTTCGCCCCCATTCCCGCAGTTCCCCCCCCCCCCCGTGTCCCAGGGCGGGGAGGGGCCGGGTCCCCCTGTCTTCCCCCCTCCCCTCCCCCAATCTGTAGCTGGGCCCCAGGGCGGGGAGGGGCCGGGTCCCCCGTCTCACCCCCCTCCCCTCCCCCAATCTGCAGCTGGGCGCCAGGGCGGGGAGGGAGGGGCCGGGTCCCCCGTCTCACCCCTGTCTCCGCAGGTCCCAGGCTGGGCGGCCGAGGGGCCGGCCGAGGACGTGGCCGTCTGCGTGAGCTGCCAGAACAACAGCTTTGGGGAGAAGTGCGAGAGCTGCCTGCACGGCTACTTCCTGCTGGAGGGCAGGTGCACCCGGTACGGAGCCGCGTGGGTGGGGGGTGTGCACCCGGTACGGAGCAGCGTGTGTGGGGGGTGCGCACCCGGTACGGAGCCGCGTGTGTGTGGGGGGTGTGCACCCGGTACGGAGCCGCGTGTGGGGGGAGGGGGATGTATGTAATACGGAGCTGCATGGGGGGGTGTGCACCCGATACGGAGCCGTGCGGGGGATGAGGGGGGGTTGCACCTGGTACAGAGTCGCTGTTATCCGCCCACTCTAGGGCACCCCCCTCACCCCGTTCCTGGGGCTCAGGCGTTGCCCTGCGGGTCTGTGGGGTCTTTTCCCAGTGAAAGAGCCTCACACAAATCCTCTATTAACAGTCACCTGCTGCCCCCACGCCCCGACGGCAGGGGCCCGTTCCCTGCTGGGTCCGTCGGGGGGACTCCGGTCTCTGCCCCGTGCTGAGGTTGGGCAGCTCGGCTGGGCCTGGAGCGGGTTCCGTTCGGACCCCCGTTGATAGTGAAACTCGGGCCCGGCTGAGCTGTGTGACACTAGAGTATCGCTGAGCGATCGTCTAACCAGTCCGAGCCGAGTTCCATCTTGCACCATTCGTTAGGCAAGAGAGGGCCCACGCCGAGAAGCAGACAGACAATGGGGCTGCGGGGACCATACACACAACTGGCAATGTGGGTTTCACACCCAGCACCGGGGGGAAGCGGTTCCTTGCCAGCCAGACGCTCGGTTTCTGGGGGGAGCGGTGAGGACAGGGGCCTTCTGAGCAGCCCGACCTGACGTTGTTCTTCGAGCGCCTGCTCACGTCCCTGCCGGCGCCCCCCGAGCTGTCGGGGGTTTTCTCCCCAGTGGTGTCTATCAGCTCAACCTGGCGCCCCGGTGTTGCTCCCAGCGCCGGTATAAGGGGCCCCGCCGAGCCTCTGCTCCCCTTCCCGCCCGGTCAGCCCCCGCTCGGCCTTGCAAAGTGTGTTCGCGGGTTTCTGTAAATGGCTCATCGGGTTCGAGTACCTCGGACTCCCCTGTGTGGGGCGGGGAGCCCGTCTGTCACCGGGGTTTAGCAGGGCTCTTCCCGGGCACGGCCTGCGCCAGCCAGCGCCGCACTTGAGTTGTCTGAAGTGTCTGGGGGAGGGGCGCGGGCCGGGCCGGGGGAGAACAGACAAACGGGCAGATGGGTAGAGCGAGACCCCTCCCCGGCAGCCTCCAGCCGGTTCGCCTGGGGGCGTTCAGCATCGCAATCGACGGTGGGTTTCTACCGCGGTGCAGCGAACCGGCTCCGCGGGCCCCTCGCACTGCTCGGAAGAGGGAACCGAGGGCGGGGCCTCTGCAGGCCCCCTATCCCGGCGCTAGGAGTGCCTGACACCGGGGCGCCCGTGGGGCAGGGTGGGTGAAGCGCTCGAAGCGCAGGTCACGAGAGGCAGGGAGCCGGTATTGTAACGATTTAGAGGGAACGTGAGGATGACTTTCGGCTTCTTGCCCCATGGCTGCTGCTCCCCTCAGCACGGCTGTGGGGCCGGGCAGGAGCTGGGGGGCTGCGCCCCCAGGGCCGGCGAGCCCAGCCCGACATCTCCTCGTGCAATGAGCCCCCCCTTGGGGTGGGGGCGGGGCCGGCCCCCCGCACACTCTGACCCCCCTGCCCTCCAGGTGCCAGTGTAACGGCCACGCGGACACGTGTAACGAACTGGACGGGACGGGCTGCCCCTGCCAGAACAACACGGAGACGGGCCCCTGCCAGAACAGCGCCCAGGCTGACAAGAAAGACTGCTACAAGTACCAGGTGGGGGCGGGGCCGGGGGCGGGGCCAGCCAGGGCTGCTACAAGTACCAGGTGGGGGCGGGGCCTGGGGCCGGGGCGGGGCCAGCCAGGGCTGCTACAAGTACCAGGTGGGGGCGGGGCCAGCCAGGGTTGCTACAAGTACCAGGTGGGGGCGGGGCGGGGGCGGGGCCAGCCAGGGCTGCTACAAGTACTCTGGGTTGGGTGGGGCTGAGCCAGTGGCAGGGGGTGCTCAAAGGGAGCTGTGTGGGGCAGGGGTGGGGCTGCAGCTGGGGAGAGGGGGAGGGGCGCTCAGAGGAAGCACTGTGGGGGAGGGGTTTGGGGGCGGGAGACCTGTGTGGGGTGGGGGCTGAGCCAGCAGGGGGTGCTCTCACTGACCCCGTTCCCCTCCCCCCCCAGTGTGCCAAGTGCCGGGACTCGTTCCATGGGGCGCCGGTCGGGGGGCTCCAGTGCTACCGGCTCATCTCAGTGGAGCAGGAGTTCTGCTTCGACCCCACCTCGCAGAGCAACTGCTTCCACCAGCCCAACCTGCAGCACCTGGCGCGCGGCCGCACCGTGCTCTTCGGCGTGCAGCCCAAGTTCACCAACGTCGACATCCGCATCACCGTGGACGTCACCTTCGGCGCCGTCGACCTCTTCGTCTCGCCCGCCTACGACACCTTCGCCGTGGATGTGGACCGGGCCACGGGGGTGCACGGCGTGCGGGTGCTGGCGCCGGGCGGGGCCGAGGGGGGGCCCAACGGCACGGCCCCGCCCCGGCTGCGGGAGGAGCGCCCCCGCGGGCTCATCACCTACCTGACGGTGTGGGAGCCGCAGGCCGTGCTGGTGGTGCGGGGCGTGCGGGACCGGGTGGTGGTGACCTACCCCCACGAGCTGCACGCCCTCAAGTCGAGTCGCTTCTACCTCCTGGTGCTGGGGGTGGGCGCCGGCCCCAACGCCAGCGACTCCCAGGGGCTGCTCTTCTTCCGGCAGGACCAGGCCCACATCGACCTCTTCGTCTTCTTCTCCGTCTTCTTCTCCTGCTTCTTCCTCTTCCTCTCGGCCTGCGTCCTGCTCTGGAAGGCGAAGCAGTTCCTGGACCTGCGGCACGAGCAGCACCGCCAGCTGCAGGAGATGACCAAGATGGCCAGTCGCCCCTTCGCCAAGGTCACGGTCTGCTTCGAGCCGGAGGCCGGGCCCCAGGCCGCCGACCTGGTCTTCCTGCCGGCCCGGCCCCACAAGCCGCCGCCACTGCCCGCCCCCCCGGCCCTGCCCAGCCGCCTCAAGCCCTACCCCGAGGCCCCCTACTCGGCCCACTTCCGCCGCTCCGAGCCCTTCCTCTCCCACCTGCTGGGCTACTCCTACTGCACCTTCCGCGTGGGCCCCGTCACGCTGGAGCCCACGGACGACGGCATGGCCGGCGTGGCCACCGTGCTGCTCCAGCTGCCCGGCGGCACCCAGGCCCCCAACCGCACCTGCCTGGGCTCCGCCCTGGTCACCCTGCGCCACAACCTGCAGGACTATTGCAGCGGCAGCCACGGGGCCGGGGGCGCCCGCAAGGGGCTGCTGAGCCACGACAACCTCACCAGCATGTCGCTGTGACACCCCAATGGTGCTGTGACCGGCTACGACGACCGACCCCCCCCCCTCCCCGGCATGTCGCTGTGACACCCCCCATGGCGCTGTGACCGGCTACGACGACCGACCCCCCCCCCTCCCCGGCATGTCGCTGTGACACCCCCCATGGCGCTGTGACCGGCTACGACGACCGA